AATTAAATTTCCCTGTTATAGAACAGTGGCAAAGAGATCCCCTGGCTGTGCAGAACTGTAGAACATTTTAGTGTTTTCTATCTAATATATGAATTACTGGAAATTCTTTCTGTGTAATTGTCCAATTCTTGATTGTTTTTTTCTTCTTTTTTTTTTTACTTCAGGGAAGGCTTTTGCTCAAAAAAATAATGAAATAACCTTTGTTAAAAAGAAGACTTGCACAGAAGTTGAATTGAACCCAGGAGAGCAGTATTTGATCATGGGAAAAGAAGCCTTAAAGATAAGCATTGGTTACAGCTTCAAGTAAGTCATTTACCACCAGGATGTGCTGAGATTTAATCTTAAAGTGTTTGTATGTAATAACTCTTGTGAGGCACAGAATTGATTTCATTTTGAAAGTATTCAACAGCAGTCACATCTGATACCAGTGTGGTATCAGATCTGCCACTCAAAGCAGGATTAGGAGCACAGAGCCAGCACTTCCATATTGTAATATTTTTTCTGTTTGACATTTTCCTTCCCAAATCTTAGCAGCAAATGATAATTTTCTGTTGTCTTCTTAGATTCCAGTACCCTTTGGACTCCAGCACTTGGATTGAGTGGTGGCCTTCAAATACAGCCTGTACCTCCTGTCAGGAGTTTCTGAACACAATGGATGATTTTGCTGAAGATCTCCTCATCAGTGGCTGTTAATTCACTTGGACAGTTTTTAAATTAAAAATCCAGATCAAATCCCATTGAAAAGAAGAAAAATCCTCACCTATTTATTAATTCTTTTTGACTGAACACTCATTAATAGTTATCAAGCAATATTATTACAGCAGAGTAATGCTCAAATATGATTTTTAAGCTTGGATGAGAGAATAACACAGAATGGTGCAAAGCCATTTGAAGTCAAAAGAATTGGACTGAGTGCAAAAACAAACATGAAAAGCACAGTCTTGTCACTAAAGCCAAGTCTTATCAGAACATAAATATGTGCAGCCACTTTGTAAGCTCTCTGGGAAAGAAACTTCATTCCTTAGCTTTTCCTTTTGTACTCCTTTTTTGAATTCCTGCATTTCTATTCCTGACAGTAACTGATGCTGGTTTTATGCTCTGCTTTCTTGTTTAAAAAAAATATTCAATTATATGTGTGCCTTTATTATTTATGCTTTAAGACACAGTCAACTGAATCAACATCTGTAACTTAGGTGGATTAAAACAAATGTTACTTTGCATCTGATGACTGAATTTGACAGTTAAAAATCTTGCCTTGCCTCCAGGAAAGTGGCAGATGAAAGGCCAATTTTCCTGCTCACAGCTCCTGGCACAAATCACCTTGGTTCCCAGTAAAACTGAGAAGAGAATTTGATACAAAGTACAGTTGCACACGTTTTTATTTGTATTGAGGAGTTGCCCAAAAGCAGCACGTCCAAGAACTTTAAAATTACTGTTTTCCCTCTCTCTTAGGAATATCTAGGTCCAGAACATTTAAGATGTGGAAAGAAGATATTCAGAGATGATGCAATTTTTAATTTTGGCTCTGTGAGTATTTGACTTTTTTTTAAATCCTCCAAACTTTCTAAGAAGCACAAGAAGCTCACACTGTGTCCAGTAATAACTGGATATAAATTCAAACTGCAGGGAGCAGTACATGGAAATGCTCAGTGGGACTGTCTAGACAGGCCACCTGTAAACATTTCTGCTTCTGAACTGAACCTAATTATCTCTTTAAATGACAAGGAGCATGTCTTGTTTTCACAAGTGACTTGTGACATTTAAGTTCTATTAATTTTTAGTAAGCCAGACTGCAAAAAAAGCCTCCTGAAGACCAGTTATTTAAAAATAGCACATGAAAATGCTGCTCTTAAATATCAAATTGCAGTCACTAGTTTAAAAAAAAAAATCTTTAATCTTATTTGTTAGCTCTGTTTCTATTCAGAATTAACAATCCAGTATATCACTGAGATCAGTAAGATACTTCAAATGCATGCATTTAAAAGGGAACATTTGTAGAGACAATTAGCCATGTGCAGGATGGAGGTGTGTACAGATCCCAGGGTCAGGAAGATTTCCCTTCCCCACGTGGCTTGGCTTGACTTTCACAGCAAAACCACGTGGGGGAAAGGTATATCTGTGTCTCCATCTGCTTCCACGTGCAAAGGATGTTGTCAGGTTTCTGCAGGACAAGAGAGGATGGAGGTGACATGGGAGTGATTTTAGAGCTCAGTGCCAACCTTGGTGCCTCATGGTCAGAGAGTTCTGAGGCACCAAACAGGATTAATCCCAGCAAACATGGAAATTCGTGGAAGAATCACTGCTTAGGTGACTCATCTGTATTATGAAATGGAAATTATTTTAAAGCACATTCTGTCCTTCCAAGCTTGCTGTGGATTCTGGACACCAGAGCTTTTCTCTCTGAATTGTACACAGTGTTTTTCTGTTCCTTGCTTGTTTATGTCTGTGATGTGCAAGTCTCCAAATGTTCCAGCCTTTGAATCCCCAGCCAAGAGCTGTAGTGCTTCCAGAAGAGCTCGAATTTCCCTGCCCCACTGCTGCAGGGCTCCCAAAGGCCAGGCAGTGCCAGGTGACTGCTCTGCCTCCCTGCTGCTGGAGTGGCCTCAGAGCTGAGTGCTCCTGCCCACGTTTATCCCCACTTCTCCAAAAAAAAAGGATGGCTGACCTTGCCTGCACTGATCATCTCTGAAAGCAGGACTCTCTAAGGGCAGTTAAGTAAGTTTGGGCATTATACTTTTATTCCTTTTTCATATATTTCCCTTTGAATGAGGAAACTCAGCAGATGCCATTCAAATGTGATTCTCCTTGGTACTCTTGGCAGGCCTGAGCTGGTTGAGTTCCAGAATTATAACAAATCTAAGGGTTAATACTGTGTTATCCTTTGGCTCTTTTAAAAACACCTATTCCTGTACATTTTCATTTGTATTTTAGACTGGTTTTTAGACAGCTAAGCATCACAAAATGAACTCATTTCTCTTTTCATTGCGACCAGAAATTAATCTCAATGACCCAAGCTGGTGAGTGACTTGAATAGCCCAAATTCCAGCCTGTTATGCACAGTGACATGTGAAACTCACACTTTGCTCTGGGCTGAAAGCTGCTGGGCTGTGCCAAAGAGCTGTGACTAATTTAGGGAGAGAGCCAAAGGGTGCCTTTCTCTGGCCATTGTTCCCCAAGCAGGGAAGGAGTGATTTTGTGTGCAGAATCCTTCAGGACATGCCACAAGCCCTAGGGAGTCTTACTCAGCCAAGTGCTCTGTCAAAAATGGTGTGAAATTAGGAATACCTGGAAATTTTAGAAGAGGAATGGTAAATCTCTCTTGCAGATTAGTGTTATTTTCTGAATACCTCCATAGTGACTGCCATAATTCTCTCCTGGCTGACCCCAACACATACATTAAATACTAGGGGGAAGAGAAGAATGCTCCCATGAGCTAGGAGGGTGCAAGCCCAAGTTAGCACATAATTTTTATTTTGTTGTGATGCTCCACTCTCATCTGAAATGATTTGGGATGGGAGAAATATTCACTTCATCACAGTGAGTTTGTTCAGTGCATCCGGGCAATGCAAAGCCAGAATATCACACCAAAATTATTTTTGTATTTGCACAGCAATGTGGATGGGACAGTCTTCTGAGTAAGCAGGTGGAGCAATACAAAATCCTTGAATAAAAAATCCTTGGTAAGATTACTTTCCAGTTCAAAACTCTTCTAATAAACATTATCAAACACCCATTTCCACAAAGAGGAGCTGTGCAATCAGCTGGCAGGTCCATTTACAGAAGGGGTGTCAGCAGATGAGTGAACACAAGGTAAGGAAATCCATCTTTTCTTTTGAGTGGAGATTATTTTGTAGTTTAAAAAAAAAATCACAGTCTGGGAGCTGCCAATTTGGTGTCCATCCATGGTGGGTAGTCTGACTTGACCCTGCCCACAGAGGCCTATTTTCAGCCTGTGTAAATGTTAATGTTTAGACATGTCTCCCAGCAAAATGTGTTCTTAATCTCCTGCTGAATTCTTACATCAGAACACACAGAAATTGAGCATGGCTGTCAGTTATTTTCCAGTAAAACACCCACCTCATAGCAGTTACATATGCTTTCAATTTTTAGGATATTTAATAATGTTTTCATCTCTAATTAGGAGAAATATCTGGGCTTGGCTCTTTCATTCTCCTGGGAACCAAGGGTTTGCTTTTGCCAGTTGCTGGATCATTACAGAATTCCAGTCCTTGTGTTAAATTTTGCTTTTCAAGTTCTGAATGAACTTGGAATTTGGATACATGTTTAAGCAGCAACCGATTTCCTGGAAAATACTAAACTGGATTAAACACCACAACTCTCATAAAAAGAACATTCAGTGTAGAAAACAATAGCAGAGAGATCCCGAGTAAAACTTGCTCTATTCAACCCTTTCTTTTCTGTCCCAGGAAATATTTGTTACACACAGGGGGTTATTTATGAAATGGTTATATTTACCCACATTCAGAGCTAGAAGTCACGAAATGCAGATTATTCCTAAGGTGCTGTGGCTCAGACTATAGTTCCTTTGTTTATTTGCTACTTGACAGTTAAAAGGGGCAATTTCTCTTACAGGCAAAGTAAACAAAAAGTTATATTAGATGCACTTGAAGTCAGTTGAGATATTAAACCCCCAGAATTGGGATTTACAGTGGAAAATCTATTTTCTCTAAGGGCAGCAGCCCCACTGGTGCCAGTTTAAAGGACTCCAGAGCACACAGAGCTTCAGAGCTGGGTTTGGTGCTCTGAGGCTGGTTCCAGGGAGCCCTGATATGGACTGGAATTGTCTAATTTGGCTTTACAAGAGGAGCCCCAGCAGCACATTCTTTCCACTGGCAGTTCCCTGTTCCCTGCAGTTTGTACCATGAGGAGCACATCCTCAGCTAGAACAAATAATTGAAATTATTTTGGTGGAGTTTCACTTGATATCTACATCTGCAGATCCAGGATTTCTTCAATTGCAGCACAAAAACCCAAAAAAACCAAAACAAACAAAAAAAACAAAACAAAACAAAAAAAAACCCACAAAAAAAAAGTGGGAAAATTGCTTTGCAAAGAGGAAATATGTCAGGAACACCTCGCCCATCCCCACTGAAGGAGATGCACTGTGCCAGTTTGGACCTGCTGAAAGGGGAATTGCAATTTCCAGCCATCAGCTGAGGTGTGGGTGACAGGCAGGGCCTGAGTGGCAGCTGTGACTGAAGTCATTCCTTTGCTGCATGGCTGAGTTGTCTGGCTCTGCCAGGGTCTGATTAGCCAGGTTTCCTTCATTACTTATAAGAAGCAATATGCCATAAAAATGTCATTTTCACTGCTTAAATCATAACATTTTCCATTAAAACCTTCTGCCATAAGGTCCTAGAGGATATTCATCCCCAGGCTCTGACAGGGAGGTGGGAATGGGTGTTCATTTCCAGCAGCAGTGAATTCCAACTGTTTGAAGTCACCAATCTGTGTAATATTAAAGGGTGGGCTTTTTTCTAAGCTTCTGTTTTGGTCAGGAATCTCAAAAACAAGGTAGGATCAAAAGCTTCCTATGGAACCATGAGGGATGAACCTAATACTTGACCTAATTTAGCAGGATTTCATGGATTTATAGCAGAAATTGGGGAGATGTATCTAAACCTACATGAGCTGCTGCCCTGTGTCCCTGCTGATCCTGCCAACCCCCCTGCCCAGTTCTGAACTGGGATTAATCCCAGCCCAGAAACACTTCCCAGGGCTTTGAAACAAGATATTCATGACAACAAAACCACTTGGATGTGACTTTAGAGAAGCAGATTTAGGACATGCTGCATTTCCTTCCGGTCCATGTCTTGCCCCAAGCTTTGCTTGTGAAACCTCACCACGATTCCTGCTGCCCTCCAAAGCCAGGCTTGGGTTGTTTTGGTCCCTGCCAGGCTTCCCCTGAGGTGGGAGCATTCCCTGTGTGCCTCCTTCTCTGGCTTTGGGGTTCCAACGCCCAGTTTGTGATTCAGAGGGTGGACGTGGAGCTGCAAGTTTTGTTTCCCTGGCTGGATTCCAAGGGCGCTGCCGGGAACAGGTCTGGGATTTTGGGCTCCTGGGTTCCATCCCTGGCACAGCTGCCAAGAGGTCTGGCCTCAGGAGAGGGCTCTTTTTATTCAGGAGTTTAAGCACTTACCTGTTTCCCCTATTTAGAATATAGGCCTGATACTCTTTTACCTGCTTGCCCCACTTCCAGATTTAATTTTTCATTCAGGCTCCTCCTGAATGCTTAAAATTAAATTTCCTTTCTCCTTAAGAATAATCCTTAAAACATCTTGGTTTGTGAACACTCAGGAGTTTTCCTTCTTGCTGTAGCAGTGTTTTAGTGAGGGCTTTGTTCTTCCTCTATAACACAGATAAAGAGAATTTGTTTTCCCCTTGTGAAACCTCAGATAACACTTGGAGCTCCTGTGTTCCCTGGGTGTGTTGCCCATAAAATACAGGTACAAACAGACATGTCAGTGGTGGTGTGGAAATTACTCAGGATTATGAATCACACTGAAAAATACCATTGGAAAGCTGAGCCTGGTGCTGTTAGTCACTCTGCAACAGCAGAGGGAATTATGGGCTCAGTGGAGGAGAGATGCAAGTTAGTGCAGAGTCAGTCTCTTTCTGCTTCTGACATGTGGAAAACATCTTCAAACATCTTTACTTTTCACTGCTATTAGCAAAATGAGCAGCTTCTTAAAGGGTTAAAGGAGATTTGCCATAACCTTCACTTTCCTCTCAGTTCTTGTCATTTATGAGAATTAATGAAGATATTAAATAAATCTGATGTTTCCTTTTTCTGTTTCCACTAATTAGTCCCAGTCAATCAATAGAATATCCACATTTTCCCAGCTGGTTTAGAATCAAAAGATAATGAAACTGAACTTGTTTTTTCATGTCACATCCCGAGCTTTGGAAGAGGTTTTGGCAGCCTTCCCCCTGGGCACAGCTCCCATTCCCAGAGTTCTCTCCAAAGCATTAAGAATGGAAAGAAGCAGCTCAGAATTTTCCAGTTTAGCTCAGGCTTTCTGTACATTAAGAGAAACAGAAGCACAACCACAAGTACAGCAAAACCCTTCATGTGGCCAGAGAGCTGAGCTTCAGCTGGGGAAACTGGCACCAACTGGTCCATGCTGGGCTCACAAACTGGGCTCACACATTGCAGCCCACGTCTGTCCTGCTGTGGGGGGACAGTGACAGAGGCACGAGGCCACCAGGGAGCTTCTCCACATGAAGAAGCTCTGCCTGGTGGCCTAAACTCAGAGGCAGCCTCAGAAATCTCTCAGTGAGTTACTCTGAAATACTCTTGCTTGTAGGAAACCATCAAGGCCACTGTGATAGAGAGAAATACTTTCATTTTCTCTCTGCTCTTCAGGGTGATTCCTTGGCTTGGCTTGTGGAAACTGCTTAAGTGAGTGACTGAAATAAGCCACACACACACACATATATATATTAAGTGTCAATTTTGGGGTGCTTCTCTCCTGTCAAGTGCTGGAGAGGTGCTCCAGAGCATCTATTATTTGGAGGAAAAAATTCCTATGATAATGCTGTCTTACAGAGAATATGATCTGGGAAAAATCCTGAGGCAGAGCAGGGATGAGGAAAATAAAATTGATTCCTGATGTCTCTTTGAGGGTTACAGTCCAGCTCTTATGAAACTTAGTGAGAAATTTTCCTGCTCTTGTAGTGAGGGCTGGGCTGGTCCTTGGGGTAGCACCATAACAAAGCAGAGCTACAACTGGTAGTAAGAACAGACAGATAAAACTGAAACATGTAAAGAGATTTCATTAGAGGCAAGAGGTTGAATTCTGGCAAAGCTGTCAAGTTCACTGAGGATAATGATTAATTATTAATGATTCTTCTTTTTCTAATCTGGATTGGTGGAACCTCACAGACACTGTGTTCCATTCAGAAAATAAGGAATAGTGTGGGAGTTGCAGAGCTTCTCCATGTCAGAGCTCTGACCAGGCAGGAATCTGGACTGGAAGCACTGAGCTCCAGTTCCTAGAAGTGCTGGATCTCATGGGCACTGGATTTGCCTTTACTAGCAAATTTTCCTTCCTGTGTTTTACCCATATTCAGGTTTTCCTAGAACATGTGCACATTTCCAGCTAATTTATACAAATTGAAAATCGTGTTTTCATCGGAGGTGACATCCCTATCTTAAACATCTCTCTGAAATGCAATTCTCCTTTTGATTACAGTCTTTAAAACCCAGAGCATCTGAGCCGAAATTCCATTTTCAATGTCCTGTGAAATTGGTAGCATTAAAAGTCTCAACACCTTGGCTTATTTTTAAAAGGTGATATTAAATATAGGAATATATTCCCTTATGCACTTTTTCCCTAGGATATAAAATGCTCATTCCCCCTAAATAGTAGCACAGTGCCCTGCAATGCTGAGCACTGCTGGAATGCCTCTGCAGTAAAATTAAGCTTCAAATTTTAATCTCTCTCTGAGCCACATCCTGTTTTCAGTTAACTGATCTCATATGGGGGAAATTTACCACAGGAAATCTCTCTAGTTTGGAAAGTACCAAAACCTTATCTTTAGTTTCTTTGTGTAACTCAGCACCTTTGCAGACAGAGGTGTAACAGAATCACAGAAACTTTCAAGAAGTCTCAAAGCAAGAGGAAAGGAGTGAGTTAAGGGCACAGGGAAGAGGTGGAGCTGCCACTTCATCCCTGAACTGACCCTGTGGTGTAACACTGATCATTCTAAAATTAACATCTTACGCCTCTTTGTACCCCCAAACTTTGAAAAACCACATCCAGAAATCTCTTCCTTTCTGAAAGAGGTTTTAACTCACATCCTGGCAGAAACTGCCTGGGCCAAATGAACTTAGGATGAATTTTAACAACCCAAACGAAGGCAAATGGCTCAGGCCAAGGCCTCAGTGGGGCTGTCACACTTTCCTCCTAGCTCTGAGTTAAAGCTGGTGCCTCTGAACTACAGATCCAGAGCAGAGCAGAGAGGAGGGAGCTGAGGTGTGTGTTGTGTCTGCCCGTGCACACCCAGCACGGGAAGGTGCCAGACTCGAGGCAAACTCTGATTAAAGGGATCCCTCAGCAGGCAGCACACACCCTGCACACACTGCAGTGGCTCCTGCCAGGGCAGCAGGGCACAGCCAGAGAAGCACCCAGAGGACACCTCTGCTGCTCATTGTTCTTGCTGAGCAGGGCCTCACCCCCAGGGATTGCCCACAAGGAGCAGTGAACAGATTTGCATGCACAACTCCTTTTCTGACTGAACCCTCTGTCAGAACCAGAGAGGCTGGCAGGTTGTGCCGGGGCTGAAGAGCCCCATTATCTGCTGATAATGAAGCTTTGCTTTGCAGAACCTTTCCCTCACTCCAAGAAGGCTTTGCAGGCATTGCTGAGCTCCTGCGTTTCCCGAGCTGCCTGGCAGGGTGAGGCACAGCGGGGCTTCCCCGGGGGCTCCGGAGGCTCCAGGCTCCGGGAGCGGGCAGGGGCTGCCCCGAGCAGCCGGGAATGTCGCGCTGTGACCGCGCCCGGGGCGAGCAGCCCTTTCTGCCCGACCCCGGGCACCACGGCAGCCCCGGCGCCTCTCCGCTTCCAGGAACCGGCTTCCACGTTCTCCACCTCGGTGGCCCGGGGGGAATTCTCCCGGCGGGGCCTCTCCTCAGCCCGTTCCCGTTGCCGTGCCCCGGGCAGGGCGAGCCCCGCTGCCGCCGGCCCCGGGGCGCGGCCCGGGCTCCCCGCTCCTCCCGGCCGAGCGAGGCAGCATCGCCCCGAGGCAGCCCGGCCCCGGCACCGCCCTGAGCGCCCGGCCGGGCCCCCGGGGCTCAGGTACCGGAGGGGATGCGGGGAGGGAGGGACGGCAGAGGGAGGGATGGAGGGGAGCGGCGCGGAGGGAGGGAGAGGAGCGGGAGGGATGGAGGGATGGAGAGGAGCGGGAGGAATGGAGGGGAGCAGTGGGGAGGGAGGGAAGGATGGAGAGAGGAGCGGGGAGGGAGGGAGAGGAGCGGGGAGGGATGGAGAAAGGAGCGGCAAGGACGGAGGGAGGGATGGAGAGGAGCGGGAGGAATGGAGGGGAGCAGTGGGGAGGGAGGGAAGGATGGAGAGAGGAGCGGCAGGGATGGAGAGGAGCGGGAGGGATGGAGAGGAGCGGGCCCCTCTGCAGAGAACCCCCCGGACACACGGGCCCGGTGCCCGAGCCGCGCCCCGGGAGCGCCGGGAGGACACCGGGGGCCTCCCGGGGGGGCTGCCCGGGGCTCCTGGCCGCTCCTCTCCGCCCTGAGCCGGGGTGGGCTGCGGGACCCCCGGGCCGGAGCGCCCCGTGCTGCTCGGACACCTCCGGTTCCGCGGCGCCGATCCCGGGCTCCGGCAGCCCCGGCGGGCACGGCGGAGCTCCTGCCCCGCTCCTGCAGAGGGAACCGGCCCAGCCAGGCCCTGGGGAACGCGGATTGCCCCCGGACAGAGCCTCCAGGCAGGGATGTGTGTGCCCTGCCCACCGGCCTGCCCACGGCAGCCTGGCTTCGTTTGTTTTCGGATTCCTCAGTCGTTTCTCAGTTTTCAGATTTCTCAGCCTCCGTTACCAGTCTGTTGGTAATACTGACACAAGTTATGCTGTGTCAGTACTGTTATGGGAAAAAAAAAAAAAAAGCTTTATTAAGGAGTTTTTATAATCAAACTGCACCATTTCCCTGGGTGAAAACCTTCCTTGGACTTTCCAAGAGACGCCAGAATCAGTTTTGGCTGCGTTTCCAAAAATATCCCACTGCCCAGCAAACCAAAGCAAGCTGAATGTGCACCTTGAGTGACACCTTGGCTCATGTGGCTCCAGGTGGGGCTGGCCAGAGCATCAAGGGCTTGTGGACTTGGGGTTTCCTTTGTCACTTCACCACAAGTCTTATGACTTCGGGAAAGTCACTGCCAACACACCAGCTGCTCAGTTTCTGTGTGCATGAAGTGAAATCACGAATGTTGAGAATTGATGTGGTTGGGGATTTACTCTGCAGAAACAACCCTGTGTGATGAGGACTGACGGGACTGCAGCTCATCTTTTTACAAGCTAAAAACTCTTGAAAGAAAACCCCAACCCACCCTTTTTAGGACACTTTTTGGGTCTATTTTTGTGTTGTGTTTGAGGGAAATTTCAAAGGTGTAATTTCCTGCTGGTGCCAGGTCAAACCCCAGTGTGACATTTGCTCACGCTGTCACTGCAGACCCAGCCTGGCACGGCGAGGTCCCTGCTCAGCTCTGGGGCTGCTTGTGCATCCTCTCACACCCAAGTGAGTGTGTGCCTTATCTGAGCACCTGGATTTTATCTCTCTCATCCAGAGCTCGCTGCAGATGGCTGAGAGCAGCGCCAGGAGCCTGCAGCACCCCCCTGGCTCTGCCCCTGACGAGAACGAGTTCCCCTTTGGGTTCCCCACCAGCATCTGCGAGGACGCGCCCGGGCAGAAGTTCCTGTGCAGCAGCTGCCACAACATCCTGAGGAAAGCCCTGCAGACGCTGTGTGGGCACAGGTACTGCTCTGCCTGCCTCTCCTGGATCGTCAGGTGGGTGCTGGGCTGTGCCCGGGGGCACTGCCCCTTCCCGGGGCTGGGCTGGGCTGCTCTGGGGGCATTGCCCTGCCTGGAAGGGTTGGGATGGGGACTGCAGGAGATTTGTTCCCTGCCTCCTCCTCGTTTCTGCCATGGAAGTCTCTGGGGCCTGAGGGGGTTTTTCTGTCTGTGATAAAATAATTCTGATTTAACCTTGAAGAACTGGTGCAGGGCTTAATCCTTGGATCTTGGACTCAATCCTTCCCTGGCACTTCACAGCCCTTTGATAAGGGATGTTATGGGTTTTGGTGAATATGATGTCATATATATCTCTGTCTGTCTGGGCAAAATGGGCGTTTTCTGTGTTTTAAGAGACTTCAGTTTTCACATTCTCCTTTTTACTTCGAGTTTTTGAGTAATTAATGGGATAAATAGCTTTCCATCTTCATTCCTGTTTATGGTTCAGGCTGCCCTTATTTTACTGAAATACAGATCAGATTAATGGGCATAGTCCTGATCTTGAAGAACAAGAGAACAAAACTTTTTTGACATCAGTGTGTTCAAGAATTGGCCTTTAGTGAACAAGGACTATGGATTCTTTGTGGAAATCAGAATTTTCATGCTTTTATTTGTGTCAGTGCCTATGCAGAGACCTCCTAAACTGCAGTGCACCATGGGATTTGTATTTAATTTTTCTTTCTTTTTACCAGAAACAATAAAAATGCAATTTGCCAGAAATGTAAAGAGGAAGATCCCAACACTTTAGGTGAGGAAAGCCTCTTGGCAGAAGAAAGGGTAAGTTGTAGTTCACAGATCATTAATTTATCAGTAACCATCCTCTGTAGTCATCACTGGACTGGAGTTCAGAAGGGAATAATATAAAATGCAATAGCAGCTGATAGTTACACATTTTAACTTAAGCTCTAATAACTTGCATTTCCCAGAGTTTTTGATTTTGAAAAGTGTAATGGCAGCCTCAGGACTTTCCAAATCCGTGTTCTGCAATGTAAAATCCCAAACTCTTCCATATGATTAACTTTTTATTGTCTCAAAGTAAGTGGTCCTTTCCCACTTGTAATAATATGTCTTAACTGCTACTTATTATCCTCAGGAAGTACTTTAATGGATTTTCCAACCTCATGGTTTCTTGTACCCTTCAAACACGAAGCTGAACATAATAATTGATACAAACTATGCCTGGCCAGTGTTTCATCTGTAATTTAATGGTGCAGATCTCTTCCTGTGTGATTTTCCTGGCAAATTGCTGTGCTGTTCTGTACCCCAAATGCAAGCAGGGCCCTAAGGCCCAGCCTGTCCTTCCCCCTCCTCTCTGATTACATGCAGGGATATCAGCAGACACATCATTTGTCTAAATTTTTAGGGGGGAAATGAAAACAAATAGGCAGCTGAGAGTGGCACAAAAGCCAAAGTTTAGAAAGCAGCAAAATGAGGGATCTGCTGCTGATGCTGAACTGGGTGATATCCCAGAAAAAAAAAATTTAAAAAAAAAAATTTTGGAATGAATTTCCCAGTGACAGATTTCCTGCACAAATAGGTGCGGCTGAGCCCTTCTGAGCTTTGCCTGATTTGGGGTTTCTCTGCTGTGGGATTCTCCCCGGTGTTCTGGGAGTTTCTGCAGGTGGGGTTTGGAGCTGACCTGCCTGGAATTCCTGTGCCTGCTGTGCCCAGGCTCCAGGAGGGGAGGGGATCTGCCTGTGCAGATCATTCCCAACAGATGCTGGCTGGATTTTCAGGAACTTTGATTTGTGGGCATTGTTTGTAAATACTTCCCTGCCTCTGTTTGTAAAGCTTTCCCCTCCAGTCCTTGCTCTGTGTTATTCTGTGTGAAATCCGCATTTCTCTGCACTGCAGACCACCCAAAAACGCCTTTAACTGTGGCAGGGCTTCCTCTCGTGCCAGGATCCCTGTTTTAGTGCAAGGTGTAACATTGAAGAGTGCAGTATTTCATCACTACATAATCGTACAATTCCTCGTGTTTAAATAACACCAAAATCGACGTCGTGCAAAGAACAAACCTCTCTCCCATCTGGTTTGTATTTTTTTTTCAGCACACGGTGTCTGCTAAATGGAAGCAGCCCAGATCTGAGCAGTGCTCTCAGGGCTCTGTGCAGCACGTTCAGGAGGTGTTAATGACCCCGCTAATGAAATGCATTCATTAAGGGACCCCACAGTCAGGGTCCTGTCAGCACATCGCTGCATGTGAAATATTGCAGGCTCCTGTGAAAAGAAATGCCAAATAAGAGCTGTAGTTGGCTGGGCTTGTTTTCAGTAAATTAAAATCGTGTCAAATAGATTATTTTTGAGTGCTAAGAAATAAATTATTTCATAATTATTTGGGCTTCTACTACACTAAGATTAATTTGCCAGGTTACAGAGTCTCATGTAGTACAGTAAATTTTAAAAAAATTAAAGATTTATCAAGGCGTGGATTTCTAGCACCCTATTCCTATTCCAAGGATGCATCCAAAAGTACTTTCTGACCAATGTTTTTTTTTATTACTTTGTTTTCTTTCCAGGCTTTTGGTGATGCTGCCATTAATAAAGAGATTTCTGAGCTCAGAGTGCACTGTGTGACCCTCGGGTGCAGCTGGTCTGGTATCATGAAAGATTTTGAAGTATGTTCAAAGAGAGTTTATTCAGATTAATATGGAGTGGGGACAGAGAGGCAATGAAACCAGGATATCAGCAGACACAAATTAATGCAATTAATTAGAGTCAGTGTCAGTTTTGTGATTTTTACCAATGTTTTTGTCCAAATTGTGCCATTAACCTATGGAGGGTTCCCTGCCCGTGGCAGGAGGTTGGGACTGGGTGATATTTGAGAATCATTCTGTGCTTCTGTGATTAACTTTAGTAGGGCTTTGGCCAAATCCAGAACATCCTGAATAAAACTCACACTGCACAAACTTACACCAACTTGAACTTTTATCCAGTGGTTTCCTTGTTATTTAAGTGCAAGGCTGCTACAAGCAGGTGGTGCCAGGGCAGAGCAGTTCATTCTCCAGGGCACTGTTCAGGGCATGTTTTATAGGAGAAAAAATCCCTCCTGTGTCAATGTATTGATTGCATTCATCATTCCTTTCAGACTGATCTGAAATGCCTCAGTTAAAATATTTGAAAGGAAAAGATTTGTGGATCTGCCTTGCAAATCTGAGTAAAGAATACACGGGAGAAAGCTGGGAGCAGGATCATGCTGTTTTTAAGCAAAAACCCTAAGGGGCTTTTTAAGGGAGACCTCATGTTTGAATTTACCAAATGTTGTTTGGTTTTGGTTTTGGTTTTGAGATTCTTTCAAAATTAATAATTAACAAAAAAAAAAAATCCCCAGTAAAGTTGGTGAATTTTTCACCAGTAATCTCAGTAACTTTGTGCAGTGGGACTTTACCCAAGAAGAAATGCAGATCAGAGCCCTGGGCTGCCAGAACAGAGACTATTTATAGATAAATGTGAATATCTATTTATAGATGAGTATGAATATCTATTTATAGATGAGTATGAATATCTATTTATAGATAAATGTGAATATCTATTTATAGATGAATGTGAATATCTATTTATAGATAAATGTGAATATCTATTTATAGATGAATGTGAATATCTATTTATAGGTAAATGTGAATATCTATTTATAGATTAATGTGAATATCTATTTATAGATGAATGTGAGTATCTATTTATAGATAAATGTGAATATCTATTTATAGATAAATGTGAATATCTGTTTATAGATAAATGTGAATACCTATTTATAGATGAACGTGAATGAGCACTTCACATGTTGCTTTATAACTTTTTTCTTCCAGGAGCATCAGAGTCTGTGTGAATATGCTTTGATCCCTTGTCACACTGGCTGTGGGCACGTGGTGATGAGGAGGAAGCTGGCAGATCACTTGGAAAATGGATGTGTCAATAACGTGACAGTGTGTCAGCAGTGCCACTGCAGCCTGGCCAGCTCTGAGTGCCAGGTAAGAACATTCCTCTCTCAAATAAAGGCTTTTTATTGATGGTTTCAATGACCTCTGGTGCCATTTTCCCATCCTGATTTCCTTGCACTTGGGGAATATTTAATTTTCCTGAGTTTGATCATTTTTCCACACGAGTTTGGAGGATGAAATGGATGTGGTAATGTGCTGGTGATGTGACAAAGTGCCCCTGTGCTCCCCTGGCTTTGGGCAGCCCAGGTTTCAGCTCCTGCCTCAAAATGAGTCCTGTGTGAGGCAAGAGAAAACCAGAAAAGCACAGACAGCAGCAGGGAGGGGATCTTGAAAGTGGCTGAGGTTTATTCAAACTAAAACTACCCACAATGTGTAGGGCAGGATTCTGTCAGATATTATTTCTATAGATCTGACCAGGTATAAATCTCCAAATTACCAGCAGTGACCAGGAAGATCTCACTCTGAATCTGCCACAAATATCTCAGTGCCCATTCAAACATATTTGCTTCATATTTTTTTATGTTATTTGCTCAAAACAATGAATATTGTTCCCTCCAAATGATTTCAAGGGGATAATTGCCAGCCTTGCAGTTGGGCACGTTGATTAAAGACCCACACGAGAGGAGGGCTGTGAATATTTCAGAGATGTAAATAGTTCTGAGTGTCCAAAGTGTCACAAATTGGTGCCTTTCAAGGCAATCAAGAGATTTATAAAGAGTACGAGTTCTCCTGGAACTAGGAATGGGATGCTCTGCTAAAATCTGCTCCTTGGGCACCTTCTGCTCAGTCCTGGACGCTGAAAATGTCAAACTTTCTGTGCTGAAGGGCACAGACCCACAAGAAAATTCTATATTTGTCCTGAGGCCGTGGAGAAGGCTTCCAGGATGGATTGATAGCACTGGGATTGTGGGTGTGGAGTTGGATTAAAGTGTGTCATATCTCAGGGTGGAAAACAGTCCTTCAATCCCGACCTCCACAGAGGCAGAAAAAAGAAGCCAAACCCAAAGCTCATCCTTTAGTGACCTGCAGAGAGGGGAGAACCCGGAGCCAGGCTCATCCTCCCGGTGTAAACCCCAAACTGAGAACACCAGGAGGTGGCAACACGAATTCCTGCCAGCCTGGCTGGGCTGGGGCTGCAGGGAAGCTGAGCCCACTGGGCTCCTCCTCTCTCAGGGCTCTCTGCAGCTCCAGAGCTCCTTTCCTCCCACTCAGCCACCACCTCGTTGATATTTTGGTTGGGAAACCTTGGTAACCGAGCAGGGGGTTGGCCTTGAGGTGTGGCTTTTTCTCGGCCTCCTTTAGAATGTGTAGAATTCTGATTGCATGGTGTGCTTTAATGAATTTACACCGAGTTCAGGGTTGTGATTATTTGTGGGTGCTCCAGTGTCCACAGCCCTCTGGGAGAGAATAGGAAATTTTGGGTGCTGCTCTTGCTCTCTTCATTTTATTCACTCAGTTTAAGGTCTGGTGATTTTTTTTGTATTTGTCTATTTTTAAATAAACTTCTCTGCTCTGAAGGAGAGTCCCTCTCCCCCTCAAGAAATTGGTGATCTGAAGGAGTAAAAGAGCAGAAATGAGTAAGATCACTGGCAAGATAGAGAGTGTTAAAAAATGAGTTGGAGAGTGAGAAAACCCCGTGGCTGCATTTCTGAGAACTGAAAGGGAAACCTCAGAGCTGGTGTGCAGAGGAGCTTGTGGAGATGAAAGGCACCCCCTCTGCAGAGTGTGGCAGCTGCTGTGTTAAATACAGATTTCCAGAGCCAGTGGCAGGGGCATCACTTCACCCTTCCTGGAGGCAGAAATGGCAGCAAGGCTCCTGTGAGTGTGGTGCATTTTGTGTAGCCCAGCACGATGGAGAATTTGGATTCCAGCCTCCAAAGTGCTCAAAAGCAGGATGCAAGAAGGGTCTGCACGTTGAGCAAAGTGTATGGAGTCAATGCAGGAAGAGTTTATATCTGAATTATATTTGAATTTGAATTTATATTGGAGTTTCCTGTGCTGTAACCTGTTTATGTTCATATATATATCTGTATATATTTGAATTTCCTGTTCTGCTGCTCATTGTTGCTTCCTGGTCTGTAACCCCCTGCTTGTCACTGCATGTATGTGAGTGCACATTTTTGTGTGTGTGCACATAACTTTGAACCTGGCAACACCTGCACATTGCCAGTCTTGTATCCAATATCCCAGGGTGACCTTTAATTCAATAATTAAATAAGGCACTGACTTTTTTCCTTCTTGTTTCAATGACAGGAGCATTCATGTGAAGGCAGTTTAGGCAAGGAGAAAAAACCTGTGCAGACAGAAACAGCATCAAAGGAAAAGGTGGGTGAAGGATGCAGCTCTATTTCAATTAATGAAATTATCTCGTGTTCATTTAGATTAAATGAACACCTGAGAACATCTGTCATGATGGGGTCTGGGAGAGGGACACCTCACTGCCAGGCTGTGTGCAGGAAATTTGCTCTCCACCACACTCTTAATTGATTTACCATCAATTTCCAAAGTTGGTTGGCCACTGAAAGCTGTGGAATTACCTTGACTTGAATTAATCTGAATTATAGCTGCTGGGTGTGTGGCTTAGGTGTTTGTAGGAAAATACAAGAATTCCCTTCAATTTGTTTTATTTCCTCTGCCTGCATTTTTTTTCTTTTCAGCAGAGCCACTCTACATCCTCATCCAGCAAGGAAGGCTGTTGTTTTTCTGAAGTTGGCTGTGCATTTAGGGTGAGTCAAACAGGTCCCTTCAGGATGTTCCCCCTGGTTTGGACATTCCCTTCAGTGTCTCTCAGGACAGAACCAGCACTTCTGGTGGAGCTGCACCTGCACCTTGCAGTTTTCCCATCTCCCAGGGGGCTGCAGGATGCTGGGTTTGGCCCCAGGGCAGCTGGGTGGCATGGAGGGTGCACTGACAGCGCTGTCTCCTCCAGGGAAGCAAAGAGAAGATCCAGGAGCACGAAAAATCAGCAGTGGGGGCTCACATGCTGCTGCTGCTGCAGCACATGAGGCAGCTGCAGGGAACCCTGTGCTCCAAGGGCTTCACCCCACGGCCAGAGCTGAGCTTGAAGAGTGCAGGAAAAGGCACCAGTGAGCTGCAGATGCCAGCAGGGCTGGGGTTCAGCAGGGACCCAGAGGTGGACTGTTTCCCTGGCTCTTCTGTCCCCGAGGATGAGTCTGTGCTGCAGCAGCTCGTGAGGGAGAAGGTGATTTCCGAGCTGGAAAATAAGCTGCACGTGTTTGAGAACATTGTGGCAGTGCTCAATAAGGAGGTGGAGAGCTCTAATTTGGAAATCCTGGCCTTCAGGAGGCAGAGTGAACTGGACCAGAACATAATACGGAGCCTTGAACTGAAGGTAAAAATGACAGCAAGGATTGTCTGGGTGCTTGTTCTGTAGACAGCAAATGCTGACACACATCAGGGGGAGCTGGGTAGGGAGCAGAACAGGAGTCTGAGCTGTGGAGGGCTCAGATCTGGACACATATTCAGGATCCTTTTGTTGTTTGATACATTTTCAAACGTGGCTCTCTGGTATTTGTTCTCTAAATCCACGTTTAGGTAGTGAGATACTCCTGAGAGTTCTGAGTCTTAGTTTGCCAGGATCAGACTGTGAGCAGGCAGGAGAGCTCACAGTCTCATTTTGCCTGGAGGCCCAAACATCTCTGTGTATGTTTTGACATATTGCTGCCACTTAGAAAAGAATCAAAGCAGAGCTTCCAGAACATGAGTTCTCCAGAAGGATCCAGCCACCCCTGCAGCACAGCCTGGAGCAGGGGGTGGCTGAGGACTGGCTTTTTGTCCCAGATTGCAGAGTTGCACCGGTGCCTGACGCAGAAGGACGCGGGCCTGAGCAGCCTGCACAAGAGCCTGCTGTTCTCTGAGCAAGCCTCCTACGATGGCATCTTCCTCTGGAAAATCACAGAGGTTGGCAGGAAGCTCCAGGACTCTGTGACTGGCAGGACAGTCAGTTTGTACTCCCCAGGTAAAGCTCGAGATGGAGATGTGTGTTCACAAGCCCCCACCCTTCAGAATCCCCCCCCTTTTCCCAGAGCTCTGCTTCCTTCTGCTCGTGGAGCATCTTTAACCAGCTCCTTAAGCCAAGATGCTGTTTGTGCAGAGATCTGCAATCCAGGGCATGGGGTGTGCTTTTCCAGGGGGCTGTGCTCTAGTTTGGGCTCTCATCCTGCCCTTGGCCCCCCAGCACAGCTGCCTGCAGTGGATCCATCCCCCCCAGCCTCAGCTCGGTGCCTGCTGGCACCACGTGGCTGCAGCTCTTTCCCATGGGGGAAGTAACTGGATTAGGTAAATTACACTTGTGTGGCTAATAACAGGTAATTTTCACCAAGGTTTGAGGCACTAATAGGATTCCAGCCACTGGGTTTTCATTGCTTGTAATCTCCAGGGGGTGCTGATTTGTCTGTTCTCCTTTCTGTGAGAGCAAACCACGTCACACGTTGCCTTTTCCCATATCCCAGAACACACATTATGCCTTATTTTTCCCCCCAAAACCAGCTTTACTAATGAAGAGTTCTGACTTTCAGCTTTCTACACTGCAAAATATGGCTACAAGGTGTGTCTGAGGGTGTACCTGAACGGGGATGGGACAGGGAAAGGAACCCACATGTCCCTGTTCTTCGTCGTCATGAAAGGAGACTACGACGCTTTGCTCCCCTGGCCTTTCAGGCACAAGGTAAGAAGGAAAACCTTTCCACATCTGATCCCAGCCACAAGTCATCACAAGGTGACTGTTTCCCTGGAGTTTTGTGGAAGCTGAGTGCTTTTCCACATCCTTTCCAAAGGTGAGGAGCTGACTGCAGTGCTGGGTTATGATTTTCTCTGACTGGAGTCCCTTGCAGGGCAAGCTGCTCCTGCTGCTATCCCAGACTTTGGCAGGCAGGATTCTCACCACCAGAAGTGGTGTTTGGGATATTCCAACCTGTGTCCACCTGGGCTAAAGCCAGACACATCTCCTGGCCCTTGCTAAACACAGGTAATATCAGTTCAGAGGGAATTGTGATTTGCTGCCTGAAGGCATCAGAGGGGTGAGGTGAGAGTTCACTTCCAGAGTTGCCACAGATGTGATCCTGTCTGATTTTTCCCCTAAGTGTGATCTGAAAATGGCAGCAATGGTTAGGGAAGCAGTGAAACCATGGCAGGGCCTGACCTCTGCTCTGGCACTTTGTAGGGTAATAATTCTGTAAACCTTTCCTATAAATAGTTTTACTGACAGTTAACAGCCACAAAAACAGAAATCAAAATTCCCAATCCTCACTGTATTAAAAGATTGTTACAGATCTTTCATATTTCAAGCTATAGAACAGTGAGTTAATAAAAGGGGTAATGAGGTGGGGAGATTCTATACTGATTTTTAGGTTGTGTCTTTTATTTGTGCATGGGCAGCTGAGCTGTTTCTTCTGATTCCAAAGCACAGTAACAGAATAAATGCAATGACTGTAACCAAACCCAGGGGCTGTTCAGGAGGGAGGGAGAGGAAAAAAGCCTTTGGACTGTGCAGTTCTCTGCTTAATATTTCATTCCTTAATAATTCCTTACTTGAGTTCATTTAATTTCATTTTATGGGTAACAAAGTTTTAAAAACTTCACCTGGGAGTTCACATGAACTGACCTTGCAGGATGGAAACGTTTGTAACAGATTGATTTAATTATCAATTGCAGCTCTTGCAGCATTTCTGCCTGGTTTGTTTCCCACTCCAGTAACTCCTCACTGCCACATTCTGTTTTTCAGGTGACATTTATGTTGCTTGACCAAAATAACAGGGAACACATAATTGATGCCTTTCGCCCAGACCTGACTTCTGCTTCCTTCCAGAGGCCAGTGAATGACATGAATGTGGCCAGTGGCTGCCCCCTGTTCCTGCCCCTGGCCAAGCTGCAGTCCCCCAAACACGCCTACGTGAGGGAGGACACGCTTTTCCTGAAATGCATCATCGAAACAAATTAGCACATCCTCAAGTGTGGCTGGCTGGGGAGCTCACCCCTGGATGTCAACAGGTTATGAGGAAAAAAACCTTCAATTTGAGACCTTGTGGTAGTTTGTGTGTACACAAAATCCCCAGAGCCTGCACCCCATGACCCACTGCCACTGGAGCTGCCCCTGAGCAGAGCTGCTGGAAGGGGATTATCCACCAGAGGAGCCAGATCTATGGGTGTCACTCATGGGCTGGGTGTCACTCGTGGGTTAGGTGTCACTAACATGGATTAGGGGTCACTCATGGGTTAAGTGTCACTAATATGGTTTAGGTGTCACTCATGGGTCAGGAGTCACTCACATGGTTTAAGTGTCACTCATGGGTTAGGTGTCACTCATGGGTTAGGTGTCACTCATGGGTTAGGTGTGTCACTGTCACCCCTGCCCCACTCTGCTGCAGAAGGGGCTGTTCCTCCTCACAGCTGTGACCCTGTGGCTCTGTGTCCCTGAGTCCCTGGGCAGGGGCTGAATTCCCTGGATTCCCTGAATTCCCTGATTTCCCTGCATTCCCTGCATTCCCTGGATTCCCTGCATTCCCAGGTCTGTGGGTGCTCCTGGGGCTGAGCTGGCCCGTCCTGGGCAGTGCCCAGCGGGTGCAGCTCCTTTCCCAGAGCTCTGGGGTGAGCTCCTGTGGGGCTGCAGTGCCTGGCAGCCCAGGGGGAGGATTTTGGCTGCTCCCCGGCAGGAAGAAGGGCAGATTCCTCCCCCAGGCCCGGACCAGGGGTCTCTGTGCCTCCCCAGGACCCCGGGAGCTGTGGGCAGTGCTGTGGCTGCAGCCTCACCCTGCTGGATTGATTTCTTGCTGTTTATCCCAGATTTCTCTTTCTGTGCTCTGTGAGGGGGTGTTGAGCTGCATGGGCAGGCAGGGAGCAGGTTCCACTGTGCTTGGGGGAATTGCCTCTGGGATTTCCAAAGGAGCCCTCGGGCTTTCCCACTGTGGATGCAGACTCTGGGAAGGCCAGAGCTCTGCCCCAGGCAGGGTGAGCTCCCTCAGAGGTCTGGGCTGGTGTCCAGTCACTTCCTGCACCTTCAAGGCAGGTGACTTATTAGAAATTATTGATTTTTTTTTTCTTTTTTCTTATTGTGTTCTGATGTTTAAGTAACTCAAAAGTTTGGGGTTCATAGATTTGGTTGGGTTAGTTTGGTTTTTTTCTCTGAGGATTTTTATTAAAAATTTTTTTTTTTTTTTTTTTTTTTTTTTTTTTTTTTTTTTTGCTTACTGTGTTCTGATGTTTAAGGTTTTTTGCACGCTAAAATACAAGTAACTGCTAGAAATAGTTTTATTCTTCTTAGGTTTCCTAATGAAGGAATTAATAATTTTTTTAATAAGCAAGACAACTTAGAGTTGTCTGGATGTGTGGAAAATCTTTCACTTCTGTCTTGGCAACAGCCTTTAAAATAATTAGTTGTGATAAAGCATCACATTTCAAAAACATCCACCCCATAAACAAATATTTATCAAAGTTTGTTTGGGAAGGAACTGGATATTCTCTGTATCTTTTCCTCTATTCCACCTTTCAAATGCTCTTTCAGGGACCCAGTACTGGAGTAATTTATCTAAATATATTATGCTTTTCCTCTCTATCCCTTTCAAAGTGCTGTATTTATTACAATCATTCATATTTTCTTATGATTTTATTTATTTCCTAAATAAAGCTCACTAACTTAAGAAAGGCTTGGTGTTTTTTTCACTGTCAGACGGGGAACTGAGCAGCTTGGAGATGTTACAGAAACAGCTGGGCTGTGCTGCACTTTCCTTCCTTGCTGTTTCCTTTCCTCTTTCCGGGGGAAGGAGGGACCTTCTGGGGCCGTGCTCAGGAGTGCAGAAATGCCCAGAACATCTCTGTCCACCTCCCCAACCCTGCCTCTCCAACAGAGCCCACAGAGAGAGCTCCGTTAAAAGAAAAAGAAGACAAAAAAAGACGGATATGGATCGAACCCATGCTAAATAAACACACAGACACGAAACCCGGTGCTGCTCCTTTGGACGGCGCAGAAAGCAGCCGGATCTCAGCCCTGGCACCCGGGGCTCTCCTCCCAGGGCATTTCCATGCCGGGAAGGCTGCAGGAGCTGGGGCTGCCCTGCCGGGCTCGGCCGGAGCCGGAGCAATCCGCGGGTCCCCTCTGGGGCTCGGGCCGGGCTCGCTTCCATCTCCCGCACCTTCAGCCTCGATAAGGAAGGGGCTGGCACCGAAAGGAGCTGGGATCGGGGCGATGTCAAGAGTTCTGTGGTCCAGCAAATCATTTCTGTGTGGTTTTGTCTGGATCGAACCAAACGATGGAGAAAAATCGCGGAGGGTTTGAGAAAAAAATATCAGCGGCATTTGCTCCGTGTTCAGTGGCCAGGTTGGCAAAGAGTCAAAATGCTGAGATGGTCTGGAACAGTCAAGGACGAAGTTTGGAGGGAACTTTTTTTCTTTTTAATGGACCAATAAAGCTTAAAAAACAAACAAACAAAACAAAATAATAAAAAAAAAAACCAACCACAAACAAAAAAAACAACAACCAAAAAAAAAAAGGAGAGGAAAAAAGAAAAAAAAACCCAGGCAAATTTTTGGTTTATAAGCCCTTGTCCAGGACAGGGAAAGAACTCAAACCTTGCACACAGGGGATTGAGCTGGGTGTTGGTCAGGCAGGTGCTCCAGTGCACTGGGGTTGAGACCCTCGGAGCAGAGGGAAGAGGGGGGAATGAGCAATTTGTGGGAGCCACTCCTGTTGCCAGGGATGTGTCCCATCGACCTGCTGCTCCTCCAGCTGGAGGTGTCGCTCTGGGGGCCCCGGGGCCGGCCAGAGCCGCTCCTGCAGCTCCCATCCCCACGGCAGGCCTGCAGCTCCGCGTTTGGGTTTCCATTCAATATTCCTCGGCTTCGGTCTCCAGGGCTACACGCCAACATCCAACCCCTCCTCCCACTCCTGTTTTCAAAGAAAGAAAAACACTGTGAAAAGAGGCTGCAACGATTTCTGGGCAGTTTTCAAAGCAGAGGCAGCGCTGGGAGCCGCTCTGCCCGCACTCTCCGCGGGCTCTGCTCCAGATTCCCGGGTGCTCCATCCCCGTGCGAGAGGGAAAGCACCTCCCCTCGGCAAGTGCAGCGTGTGGGGGAGTAAATAAAAGTTTTTAAGGAAAAATGGCAGTTTGGAGTAGTTATCTGCACGGGGCTTCATGCAAATCCTTCTGCAGAAGCTGGGTTTTTGGGGAATTTCACAGCCGGGAGCCCTGCCCTGGAGCCTGAGCTGGCGCCAGTCCCTGGCCGAGGAGGGGGTGGGATCGCTGCCCTCAGCTTTGCACCCCTTTGGGGGCTCTGGTTATTTCTGTTCCCTTCCTTACAGAATAATCTGCTTTTGAGGGCCGGATTCCCCTGCCCTGCTCCAGCACAGGCAGCGGGGCAGCCAAACCTCGGGTGCAAAGCAGGGTCAGGCTCTCAGGCGCTGTCACAGCCCCAGCCCCCGCCAGGGACCGCGACCCCACAGCGCCGCAGAAATGGGATCTCCGGGGATAGCCAGGTGGGTGTGCCGCGGAGGAAGAGGAGGATGAAGAGAGGGAAAGAGAGGAGAAAGACGATGAGGAGGAAGAGGAGGAGAAGGGAGCTCACTGCAAGGCAATCTGAGGCCAGGCTTGCTGGATGCTGTGACAGAAGCACCTGCAAAGAAACCAGAGTTAAATCTGGTTTATGTTGCTGTAATTATGTTGCTTGATTCCGGATTGAAAATACAGGATACATCTCAAATTCTGGGGTGGTTTTTTTTCTTTTGTCGGAGACTTTTGTCCCAACGCGATGCTGCCGTGCTCTCCCTCCGTGTGGAAGGGTTCCAGTCGGGCTCTCCCTGCGCACAGCCCCGGGGAGCTCCATCCAGCCTTCGATTTCCGTGTCACACCATCCGCATTCCTGCGGCGAGCAAGCAGCGCTGCCAGCACCAGCCGCGGGGCCGGGAGGAGGGCGCTGCTCCCGCGGTGCCCTCGGGGACAGGCTGGCACGGGATCGCTGTCCCGGGACTGCAGCAGCCCCTGGCATTCCGTGCCCCGAGGCACGGACGGGGAGCGGGTTCCTCCCGGGGCTGCGGGCAGGGGTTATTTTAGTCGCGAGTGACTCACACTTATCCCGGTGTGACTCATGGGGAGCTGGGGCTCCTTAGGGGCACGGCACGGCACGGCACGGCGTGGCACACTTGGCACACGCGGTTTTTCTCACGCAGCCCCGCGCAGGGAGCGGCAGCGCGGCCGTGCTCGGGGAATCGCCTTTCCCGTGCCTTCCGCAGGTGCAGCATCACGGGGAGCGCTCTGATACCAGTTTTATTAACGGTTTGATTAAATAAATGATTCCCGAGTGGCGGGTGTTGAAAGGGAGGCTCAGCTCCAGTTTTGTGACACGTCCGAGCCCCAGCTCCCGGGGCTGCATCCATCACGGACAGGAAAAGCCTGTGCGGATCCTGCTCGCGCTTGGCCCAGACCCGGCGCCGGGAATCAGCTCTCCTATGGCCCGAGCAGCCTGGAAAACATTGCTTTTCCAGGGTCGCTTTCCAACAAACAGCGAATCCTGCAGATTTCTTCTTGGCACCGACCGAAAGCGGTTTTTACAGCGATTGATTTTTCTCTGTGAGATTCAGAGAAAGGCTGAGAGGCTGCTCCCGCTTCCAGGAATCCCGGCGAGCACAGGTCGTTCCCTCTCGGGACAATGCAGCGCAGGCACTGCCCGCATCCCACCCCCTGCCCGCCCCCCACCCGGGCCACCGGGGGAAGCCACGGCTCGGAGGGGACAGGCGGGGACGTCCCGCGTGTGCCAGAGGGCGACGGTGCCTCTCCACGGCCGGTGGGTGCGTGGCCGACCCTGCGTGCCCCGGCCCGGCCCCGGGGATGCCGCCCGCGCTCTCCGGAGCACCGGGCCGGGCCAAGCCGGGATGTGCTGAGCCGGGATGCGCCCCGCTCCGCTCCGCTCGGCTCCTATCGATGCCAATCCACGCCGGTCGCTCGGTGTCACGCCAGTGGGTCGGTGCCAGTCCGGTCCGGTCCGCTCCGTGCCGTGCCGCGCCGTGCCATGCGGTGCCGGTGGGTGCCGCGGGGATGCGCTGCGCCGCGGCGGGACCGGACCCGTGGGAGGCGGCGGGGGCGGCCCCGCTAATTGCATAACCGGGACGTCAATGCCGGCGGGAGCGCGGGGGGTGCCACCGGGGCGCGGGGACCCGGCCGGGCCCTGGGCTCTGGGCTCTGGGCGTGGGCGCTCCCGCACGTGTCCGCGGGGCCGGGGGGAGCGCGGCAGGAGCTCCGGGGCCGCGGAACTGCAAGAAGGGAGCGGCGGGGGCGGAGGGAAGCGCGGGGACCCGCGGGAGCCCCGCGGCGCGGAGCGGAGCTGCCGCCGCGCTCGGACGCGCTCCCACGCGGGGACCCGGCCAGCGCCGCTGCCGGGATGGGGCGCGGGTCGTGGGCTCCGGGCTCTGCCGGGAACGGGATCGCTGTTCCCATCCCGGGGCTCTCGGGGAGCGGGAGATCCTCATGGATGGCAGGGCCGGGCAGAGCGGGCTCGCGTGGCGCCGGGACACGCGTGGTGCCGTGAGGCCACATGTGTGGCCGTGACGGGAGCGCCAAGGGGAGAAAAGTCCCTTTCCAGTGGCTTCCGTGGTGTCCTTCGGGATCGCGGCTCTGCTGTGCGCGGTTTCTTTGCCTGCTGCACCCCAAACCTCGTGGCGGTGACATTTGGCCGCCTGGGTTCGCTCGCTGTGGGTGGTGCTGGCACATCCCTGCTCCTGCAGCAGTCCCGGTGGTTTGGGAGCCCGCAAAACTGCGCGGAAATCGTGATTTTGAAATCACAGTGCATTTTAAAGCTTTTATTTCTTGTGTGCCCCTTCCCAAAACCGAACCACGCGGAGCTGTGGCGCGTCCCGGTGCTGTGGGAGCCTGTCGGGGGTTAATCCCCTCTTGTCCACCGGCAGCAAAGATTCCGGCTGCTCCCTGGATTTCGTGGAAAGGAAGCGTCTCACCGGCTCTGCTTTGCAGTGTCCTGAGCCCTGCTGGGGCTGACCCGCCTCCAGCCTCGGCCCTGGCAGGCAGCGCGCTCAGGGATGCTGCGCCCGGCCGGTACCTCGCCGTGCCGTGCCGAGGGGAC